GGGAGGGCCGGAGCCGGAGTCGCGCCGCCGCTGCGCCGGGCACGCCGCACCGCCGCGATGGATCTATTCGACTTTTTCCGGGACTGGGACTTGGAGCAGCAGTGGTAGGTGGGATTTGTGCATTCCCGGGCGCCGCGCTCCCCGGCGGGCTCGGGCTGGCCGCCTTTGTTACGCGGACCGGGCTGTCGGGGGGCGCCGGGACGCCCTTCCGCTCGCGCCAGGCCACCTGGGCTCGGCCGCAGAGACCCTCCGTCGGGGCCGGCGCGGGGAGGGAGGGCGCGGGTCCCGGGAGCGTCGCTGCCCCTCCGAGTCCAGATAGTTGCGTTTTGCCCGAATGGCATTCCAAGCCGCCCGACCGGGCCCGGGGTGCTTCCCGAGCTGCGCCCTGAGGCTGCCCGCCCCCGGGGCCCCAACTTTCCCGGGGCCCAGGCAGCGAGGACGGACATGCGGGTCCCCCGCTGGCTCTGGTCGCCCACCCTTCCGCCACCACCGGTCCCCCACCCTTCCGCCGCCACCTCCATCCCCGCGACGCGCGGCGCGCACCTTCCCTCTACCGGCTCAGCCCAAGTGTCCCCACTCGGGCGCGCGGCGCGGCTCGGGGGCCACCGCGCGGGGATCCGGCTCCGGCCGAGCTCGGCGCTCGCCTTGCCAGGCGGAGGATGTTTGAAGTTGGCCCCCCGAAGTCGGCCGTCCGACGTAAAGACACATTGAATTCCTGGCTGGACCCCTGTCCTCTCCCATTGGGAGGCAGCCGTAGGATTGTGTCAGGACCACGCATCCTGGATGCAAAGGTTTAGTCAGCTCCTGCAAAAATACCATGAACTTGTCGCTGAGCGATGTTTGAAAGATGGTGCAGAGGTGACTGGGAAGCAGGAAAGTTGTTACTCTCGGCGTGCTGTGCGCGCGCGCGTGCATAAATACTGGTATACATATCTATTAACTTTGAAAAAACTTCACCTTCTACTACAAACGTTGCAATTGTTTATTTGTCATAACCTTTTAACGTATCAATATTTCCCACCGCCGAAGGAATTAGATGCAGGGATGGCGCGGCGGTGGCGACTTAGAATTGCACTGTCGGTTAGTGTCTTTTTAAACGTCGTTAAGATAATCTATAGCACTGACCAACAGTGCGAAATCTTTTGCAATGTTGAACTACTAGCGGCCGTTGCCTATGAATGCTGTATATTTTTACAAGGATTTCCTTTGTTGATCTGATATTTTAGGCAAGTTCCTTCTTTTAAAAAGGGTCATACGCTTAACCAATAGCTTCATTATGCCAATCATGACTCCTTTAGCTGCAAATCCAAGATAATCAGAACTTGAATACATTTTATTTTACAGGCATTCCGGGTAAATCCTTGAAACCACAAATTACCATGTATCAATATTAATCTGGACGTTTTTGATCTCATGCAGGGTTTTATCAGCTCTGCAGAAAAACATAACATTTAAAAAAAAAAACACAATGTTGTTATTTAAAAGTAACAATTACAATGAAATTACTGTTCAATTAAATATTATGCTCTTGCACATAGCCTTTACTCTGCTGCTCTAATTTATTTTGCGGGCAACTGATAACCACAGCATTACGATTTGCATATAATTTTCCTAATGTATGATGTGGGTAACATCATTAATAACATACATTGTTATAACTGATTTCCTGCGTGTAGTTCAAGTGTTAAACATGTACAAGGTACTCGGTTTTTAAAAAGCATGTTTATTGCATTATTTTAATTTCAGTTAATATTAGGCATGTGTAGCTGCATATTTACAGAGGCTCGGTTTTAGGGTTAATTTCTTTTTTCACAAAGATGCACCACCACCCCCCTTTTAGAGGCAATCTTTTTTTTTTTTTTTTAAAGGAAAAGGCAAACCTTCCCCCTCCCCCCCCAGTTCCCTAGCTATGCCTCATCAATGAAGAAGCATACAGACCTGGATACTCCGTGACTATTATGTGAATAAAGATAAATTAGTATAACACGTCTGCATAAAGAAGCTTGCCTTTTCCCTCCGTGCACGTGCTCCAGGACAATTTCTCCTTCTTACTGTTTGATTGTGATGGGCAAGCTTCCTTATACATCTGTGTTGATAAACATTTGTAATGCAGTTGTGCTTCTGTGTTTTATACACCCCCACAGAGGAAAGGAACATAAATATGACATTAGCAGATGAACTAAAATACTTGACATTGTCTGGAATAGAAGTCGGTACCTTTCCAAAGTCTCTTTGCACATCCAGAGCATGCCAGTTTCATGTTCGTGACGTGTTGCTTTCCTCTCCTTGGGAGTAGCTGCTTAGAGTGATGGTACCCTCTCCCTCCCAGGGAGGAAAAGGCACCAGCCAAGTTAAGGATCTCATTTACAGTGGACTGTTCTTAACATTCACTTGTGGAGCAGAAAGCTATGAGCTATCGCCACTGCAGCCTGAGCTGTCTAACAATCAGTGGATGAGGGCAGCTTAAAAACAAACTCATTTTCCTAGACATGATGAATAAAGCCTTTCCCCACGCAGGCATATGTGTTATTTGCAAACACTTGACTATAGTAAACAAAAAGCGTGTGCCCATTTATAAACACACACAGATGAATGCACGCGGAAGAGTATGAGGTATAGACGACGCAGCGTGCATGTATACGCGGGGCATGGTGGGGCAGGGGTGGGGGGCTTGCATGCCTAACAGAACAATCTGCCACAAACTGCCAGAATATCTTCATGGGTCACGTTCTGGACGCCATTAAAGGACCAAAGCTCAAGTTCTTTAAGATTCCTGGCTGAATTGAGCAATGCTCACCTGAGTTTGAATTTAATATGAACCATTCTGTGACAGAGAAGGAAGGCACAGATGTCTGTGTGCACCAAGACACCACTTGCTCTTACAAAAGAGACAGATCATGAAAACAAAATCAGACTTCATGTTTTGAATCATTCCCTAGCTTGCCTGTGATAAGCAAGGCAATGAACTCGAGAGGTGTCTAGAGATCAAGTAAGTGGCTAGATTTGAACTTGTTTACCAGCAGTGGGGATGCCCGGGGGGAATACAAACAAATTCCGGGGGCCGCCAAGGTGTGCAGCCATTCAGTCTAGCAAGCACCCCCTGCCAGTATTGATGAGGAACTGCTCTGTGACAGGTGCTGTGAGGGGATGTGCTCATCATCTTTTTGTTATTAAAGATCGAAGGACAGAGACAATACAGAAACGGACACGTTCTTCAAAAAAAATAAAATGAAGGGAACACCGCCAATGATAGGCAAATGCGAATGTGAAAAAGCCCAGTGCAAACTGTAGTGCCGCGAAGGCCGGCATCCATGGTTTGTAGTTTTTATGTGCTGTCTCGCAAGTAGCCTAATTAGAGGCGAGATTGCAAACGGGCAGTTATACAGGAAGAGACTTCAACTCGCTAAACCGTTATATAAATAGAAAGTTCAAAGGTCCATGTGGGGCTGTCGAGGCTGAGAGGGGGCCATGTGCCAGCCAGGCTTCTCCTGGGCGGCTGCAGGCAGTCCCCGGGGCCTGCCCCAGCAGCCCCCACTTTCCACAGTTTTCCTCGACCTTGGGGGGCCGGGGAGGCCTGCTTTCCAGACAAAAGTGAAGTGTTTCCCACGCACTGCAGCAGCCCCGCCGCCCCCTGCTGCCTGCGCTCTCAGGTCTGCGGAGACCTTGTTAGCTGCAATCCTCCGGAAGCTTGGACCCCACTGTTTATGGATGGGAAGGTGTGGGAGGGAGAGGCAAGGCGACCTTGGCCACCCTGGGGCTGCTAGGTCCGAGGGGGAGTCCAAAGGGGAGCGCATCCCATTTTGGCGAGGGCCCGCAGCTTCCCAGGGTTTCTCCTTCTCTAGCTCCATCCATTTATCTTTTCCCTTCTCCCTGTTTGTCATCCTTAGAAGGAGGGCCATCTCTGGTCTGGCTTCTTTGCTAGTACTATAGGCATTCTCCAGTGTGTTAGAGCATTCATTCAGCAAACCATCTTGGGGTGAGTTTCTTAAGGGAATGTACAGGGAGGAGAGATTTAAGGTGGTGGTGAAATTAGCTAGTGATAAGCTCTCCTCTAAACTCCTCCCCAAAGCCCCCCAAAGAATGCAGGCTATCACAGTACATCTTAAAAAGCTCATCTATTGGGAAGAAAATTATCTCATGTTAGAAATCAGTTTAATGATACATGAATTGTTTTGCTAATGATTCAGTCAAGCATTTAACAACTTTAAAATATACAAATCAAGATTGAAAATGACTGCCTCAAAAATGAATCTGTCATTATAGACATAAATAAGATTCCAAACATTTAAGCATTTTGTAGATGGATAAAAATTATATTGTATTTAAACATGCTAATTATTGTTGAATAGAAATAGCTTTAATGTGCTGAACCTTTTTTTATGCCCATTTATTCTTAGCTAAGACTACTTCATACATGCAGAATTTGCACATGTTTAGTATTATTTCAGAAGCATAAAAGTTCAATAAAATGGCCATCTGTGGAACAATCTAGAAGCTGGAGTCCTAGGAGCTTTTAGCTGTAGGTCATACCTCAAAGAGGGAAACCGTCCTATACTCGATTAGTCTGTCCTGTAGACAAAACAGTTGGTCCAGTGGCTCCATTTTTTGCTTTTAATTTTGTCTTTCTTTTTGTGATTGCTGTGAGATCAAGAAAAAAAAAATGTTTTAAAAACTTCTGTTTGCTGATCCACGGAAAACAGCATATGGCTGATTAAAGAAGTCAACACCACAACTTAGAGAAAGCTTTTCTCTCTCTCTGTCTCTGTGCGTGTGCGTGCGTGTGTGTGTGTGTTTCATCTATAGGTAGAAATCACCATCATCATTACCACTATTATGTGAGTATTTGCTCTGTGCCTCAAGCTATGGACTAAATGCTTTCAATACTCAATCTCCCTTAATCCTTCCAATGACTTCATTAGAGAGGAACGGTTCTGATCCCTCTTTTACAGAGGAAGTAACAAAATCACACAGCTACTCAGTGAGGCAACCTGGGCTTCGGCCTTGCTGGAGCTGGCCCCAGAGCCTGTGTCATTAACAACTGACATCCCGGCCCAGGCCTTCCCGCATGCAGAAGGCTTTCCCATATGTCATCTCATTTGATCCT